TTCAAATGAGTTTATTTTCTTCCTATCAGCTTTCTTCACTGTCCATCTTTCACATCCATACATAGAAACCAGAGATATGATGGCATGGACCATCCTAACTTTAGTATTCAGTGCTATATCTTTATACTTCAGGATCTTGTCTAGTTCCTTCACAGCTGCCCTTCCAAGTCTTAGGGCCCATACAGACTGCCAGAAATAATCCAGTTTGAGGCCACTTTAACTGTCCTGGCTCAGTGGTAGGGAATCATGGAAATTGTAGGGTTTTTTTCTGAGACATTGAGCCTTCTCTCTCAGAGAGCTCTGGTGCCATAATAAGCTACAGTTCCCATGATTCCTTAGTACTGAGCTAGGACAGTTAAAGTGGCCTCAAGCTGGATTATTTCTGGCAGTCTGTATAGGCCCTTAGTCTTTTAATTTCCTGACTGCAGTCTCCATTCCGATTAAAGATTAAACCAAGGTATGGAAAATCTCATGTCTTCATTGTCTACTTTAAAGTTATGCCAATCATCTGTGGTCATTATTTTTGTTTATTAAGTGTTCAACCGTAAACCTGCCTTTTTGCTTTCTTCCTTGACTTTCTTCTGTAGTTATTCCTAGTTTTGCTATTTTCTGCTACTCAAATGGTGTCATCTGCATACCTTAAACTATTGATGTTCCTTCCTCCAGTTTTCACACCTCCTTCCTCCGAGTCTAGTCCTGCTTTACATATGGTATTTTCAACATACAAGTTAAACAGATGGGGTGATAAGATGCAACCTTGCCTAACCCTTTTGCCAATTTGAATCCATTTCATTTCTCTATATTCTGTCCAAACAGTAGCCTTTTGTTCTGAGTACAGATTAAACATCAGGACAAGCAAAGAGACATATCTACTTTTAATGCATGTCACACTCGAGAAAGTGTTCATATGACTGGACATGAGTTCACTTTAGGGACTTGGAGAAAATTTACAACATTTCTTGTTCTTGATCAGAGATGGTGTTTTGAGTGTGAAGACAGCCTTCTAAGAAATTGGCAACCTCTCTGAGAGCTCTTGCCTCCAACACAAGAACAAGACAAAGAGTGCTTTTTTATTGAGGTTTTTCCATAATTTGAGTAAGTGTGTATCTACACTAAACTATATTTTTCCCTCTGTAAAGCAAAGCACAGATATCCAGAGAGGAAGCACAGGACTGACAGAATGATGAGAAGGATGCAAACCTGCAGTCCCATTCAGTGTTTCTAATTGTTAGAAACCCACAGAACAAGCCTTGTAGTTTTACGTGGCTATTGTGGTTTTGTATGGTATCACAATTTGCTCAAAAATTATTGTTGCATATTGCAAGAACATTTGATGAAAAGATCAGGAAATACCTGCTAGTATTCAGTCAAGAAAGCCACAGACCTGAGTCTGCAGGGTGACTCGGAGGTCTCTCATTCATAGGGTCCTCATAAGTCAAAGTTGACTTGGCAGCAGATAACAATTTTTACATGATCAACAAACTAAAATATGGGTCCAGACATAAGAAGCTACTGCTTCTTCCTTCATCTTTGATTAGTTTAGCCATTCCAGGGGTGAGAAGAGTCAAGTGGCAGTCCGACCAGCATTCTAGTACTTCTGGTTTATTGTTAAGTGAAATAGGAATACCATTAACATTCAGACTATAAAGGCTTCAGGAAAGGACCTGATTTTGCTAATGGAGCTCACTAAAATGCCACTGATGCTACATGATAAACTATAAAAGGAACAAATCTTGTCAAGAAAACCTGTAGATGGTATGGGAATGATGTGTATATGTGCCTTCAAATTGCCTAGTGACTTATGGTAACCCAGTAATTTCATAGTTTTCTTAGACAAGGAATACTCAGAGGTGATTTTGCCAGTTCCTTCCTACATATAGCCTATAGCACCTGGTATTAATTGGCAGTTGCCCATCCAAGTGCTAACCAGGGCTGACCCTATATAGCTTCAAAGATCAAATGGTACCTACCAACCAAATGTTTAATCCTACTTTATGTGCAGTCCGAATGCATGTTCAGAAAAGAGAAGAAAGTTTGGGCAGTGTAGAAGGAAAGAGAATAAATTGGATTGTGAACTTGGTGTGTTGCTGGATTTGGCTTCATGGTCAATGATCCAGGTTTTGGTAGGCTCCTGAAACAAGGAAGGAAAGGGCAAGGAACTGACATAATGTAGTCTGGTGAAATTGAAGAACTACAGAATTGGTGGTAGTACCATCCCATGATCTTGCCTACTTTTTGTCTGATGGCTGTATCAAAATATTAGTAAAGGCCAAGTATGTACAACCGACAACCCAGTGAAGATAGAAGGTGAGGAAGTAACATCATAAAGTTGGGAGTAAGTGGGAAGAATGCATAGAATAGGATACTGAAATGGAAAAAGAGGGAAAGTTGAAAGTGTTTGAGGGTAAGAGTAAGTGGATCAGGAAGGATGAAGGTAAAGTATTAGAGAGTATTAGAGAGGAATGAAAGGGAAGTAAGTGTTGAAAGAGAAGATATGAAGAGATTGGAAGAGAGGGAGGAGAAGGAGAAGGTTTAGGAAGGAAGTGATATAGTGGAGGATTGAATAAGTTAAGATATGGTTGGGAAAATAGGAAAGGAGAAACCCCCCTCAGTACGATGTTCAAATAAGGAGTCCAACTTAGGTAATAGGATGTGAGATGGAGAGTTTTGGAATGAACATGATTGTTAATAATCTACACTTGTAGTTTTTTTTCGCTTAGGGAAGATTTACACTGATAAGATTGTTTGTTAGATTATGTGTCTTGTTCTCTTCCTTTTTCCTGTTTTTTTTTTCTTTTTAGTCTTTTTTCTTTTTTTCTTTTTATAAAGAGTATGTGTAGTGTGTAGTGTGTATGTAATATATGTTATGTGTTTTTTTTTAGTGAAATTCTATAAACTATTTTATAAAAAAAATTAGTAAAGGTGAACTACCCTCAAATAGACATGTAATAATGGAGATATAGAGTGTTAATTCCAGTGTTGCTGCTCCTAATGCTATGGAACTATTTCCTCTTAATCCTTACTACTGTGTGGTCTCCTGGATTATGTCTGTTGTGAGTTTTAAGAATGAACCTGGCCATGTTTCGTGTTTGTTACCATTGTCGGTGGAGCCAGATCAAACACTATTGCTATGTGAAACAGGAAGTAGCTCCATGACTCTAGATTCGAGAGTGAAATTTAAAAAAGACACATACTGGAGTAACACATTAGGCATTTGTGACACAGCTCTTGGGCACTTCATCAGTACAAAGAAATCCAACTACCTATTGAAGTAGTGTCATCATGAAAACATACACTCTTTCCCCCTTTCACAACATACTTTTTGTACTCTGTGGAATTATTTTTAGTCGTGTGAACCTAATGAATTTCAAAGCATTTTTAACTTTATGCCATTTTCCTTATTTAGGAATGTTTTAAGGGAAGCTGGGCTACCCACAAGCTGCTACACAAGAAAGCAAGTAAGCAAACACTTCCTTTTGCCTTTGTCATGTTCCGTTCCTGTCTTGACATTAGTGGCAACTTCAGACCAATGGGAGAAGCGATGCTGCTGTATCAGGCCGTTCTTTCCAAATCCATACTGATTCTAGTATTGCTTTTATCTGGGTGGCAAACATGGATATTAGTTATGCCACTTCAGCCTGTAGGTGTGGATTCATGTGGAATGGATTGCTTCATAGAAAACAAAAAGAAAACTGAGCAATCTTACGAAGGTTTCTAGCTTAGCTTTCTCCCTGGCATACTCCTTTGCTGTGCATGAACATTTTTTAAAATTACGGTACATCAAAGAACTTTCAGTCTTGTGAATCCACAACTGAAGTCTGAAGTGGTACAGCCAGGAGAGGCATGTCATTTTAGGGCCTGTGCAGAATGCCAGAAATAGTGCAAATTGAGTCAACTTTAAGGGTTAGGGAATCATGGGAACTGTATTTTATTGTGGCACCAGAGCTCTCTGACAGAGAAGGCTCAATGTCTCAGAAAAAAACAGTTCCCATGATTCCCTAGCACTAACCCTAACCCTTAAAGTGGACTCAATTTGCACTATTTCTGGCAGTCTGCAAAGGCCCTTAGTCTCCTTTCCTGAAAAGGTCTGTTTAGTTTCTAGGCCTTCCATGGATAATTTGTGCTCAATAGAGCCTTTGTAGGTGTGTTCAGGACTCTGGACATTTGTTTTGTAAGTATGCTGTCCAGTACTACTTCAACAGCTGCTTCTAAATATTCAAGGAGGCAATAGAAACAACAATAAGTTTAGTATGGAGAGTTTAAAACAAATAGAGCAGAAAGTTAATGGCACACCAAAGACATTGAAATAGGGTTGTGTACAATAAAATTAGGGGCCCTTTCACACTGCCCATCTGTAACACTTTGATTCCTCTTTAACTATCATAGAATCCTCAAATCCTTGAATTCTGAGATTTGCAGTTTAAAGAGGGAAATAGAGAAATCTTATAATAGAGAATCCCTGAAGCTGCAAACTCCAGGATTATTTAGGATGCAGCCATGACAGTTAAAGTGGAATCGTAGAGCTGTAGTTGTATAGTGTGAGAGGGCCTGATTGAAAGCAGCCCAGTTCAGCTTGGGCCAGTTTGGAGGCTAACTGTTTCATCTTGATGTGAGTACAAATCTTGACTACAGTTGGAAATGAGCCAATAGCTGAATTCCCCCCCCCCTTTTTTTTTGTTAGAATTAGATGGGAGTCATAGTCGTCTTCCTTTAGAAAGGATTAGCATGCCAAATTTCATTAGAATGGTTATGGCTTGTGCTATATGGCTTTAAATTCAGATTTTTTTTTTAAAAAAAGGAACCTGCCAGTTATTTCTTTATTGCTTGGCAGAATTGGATGACTTTTGGGAGAATAATTCTCATTTGTAAGGGAATCAAACCTACCCAGTTTGAAAAGAGTAGATGCAGGATGTTTTGGGAGCACGTTTTGAACCTCCTTTTATTATTATTTTTTAAGGAGACACTCTCCCTTCTACAGGTTTTTGTGAGCCACTATGAGAGCCAGTGTGATATAGTGGTTTGAATATTGGACTGTGACTCTGGAGATCAGGATTCGAATCCCTGCTGAGCTATGAAACCTACTGGGTGACCTTGAGCAAGTCACATTCTCTCAGCTTCAGAGGATGGCAATGGCAAACCTCCTCTGAAGAAGGTTGCCAACAAAATGTCATGAAACCATTATGGTCGCCATAAGTCGGAAACAACTTCAAGGCACACAACAACAATTATGAAAATAACAGAGGCCTTACTTTAAAAATCTGACAAGTTTCAGAAGGCTAGCTGTGGAGCTTTCTATAGAATGGGTGTGAGAATAAATTCTTCCCCTTCCCCCCCCCCTTTTTTTAAACTTTTATAATGTGTATGAAAATGGCATCTATCATAGGGGTGTCTTCAGACAAGAAATTTGCGTATTTCAGAAAGATAAGCACAGGGGGGAGAAAGTTATGATAAATGAGAAACAGTCTTCCTTAATGGTTCTGCTTAGTTGACACTACTGTCACAGGGAGTTCAATAGGACAGGAGTAGGACCTGCTGTGGCAGAAGAACTTGAATCACTAACACTTTCCAAGCAGGTAGCTGTAGCTAAACCCTCTCAGACAACCTTAAGTTCTTGCTTTAAGAGAGAGAACTAGCAGAAATGCTAAATACTGTGTTATTATTTCAACATCCCTCCCTCTGAAATTGAAGACCCCTGGTACAATGGTATGCTATGATAAGAAACTAGAACTATCAACCACAAAACTATATCCCTTCCTCTCCTTCTGTAAACCTGGTATTTTCTTTATATGGAGAGCATGGGTAGGAATATACTCATATTTGGAGAGACAGCCTTCAAATTCAAATTGCTAATTCATCTTTAAGGAAATTTGGAGTTGGTCTGCTTTGGTGGAGTCATGTCGCACTTCAGACGTTTTGCAGATTGAATTAGCTCAATTTGGTTCTGGATTATTCATGCAGATCTGGAGCATACACTTTCTTTAAAATAATGAATCAGTTTGTCTCATGGGGGGGGGCGTATGGGAGGATACTGGAGGTTTTGATCTGTTCTTTTTTGTTCTGGTTTAAGTTTGAGTGTGTCTACCATATCACATACCAATTTCAGTAGGATCCTTTTAAGAGAAACAGTGCAGATGAAACCAGATTTGGACTGCAAGATAAAAGCAAGTATGGAAATGTGTATTTTTAAGATTACAGAAGAGAAAGAAAAGTCAAATCCATCCAAACAAACCTAAATGGCATTTTGGCTTTTGTTGCAAGTAAATAACTATCACAACAGAATTATTCTGTAACTTTGTTTTTGTTTTACAGAAGATGAGAAAGCTAAGCGAGAAGTTTCTGCCTGGACTGTAGATGGTGATATAAACACAGATCCCTGGTCTGGTTATCGATATACTGGTAAACTCAGGCCTCATTATCCACTGGTAAGTAGCTAAAATTATATATCAATTTAAAGTTCTTCCAGCTGTCAAATCACAGTAGGGAAATTCTCTAGTGATTGTGCCTCTCAGCTGTAGAAAATGATTGTATAACTATTATTTTGTTAGAGACTTGCACAGAAGAACATTCTAATTATTAGTTAATCTGAGACTATATATAACAGATAATTTCCAGTAGCTGTTATAAATTATAGGACTATATTAAAGTGCAAATTAATTCTACTAAAGAAGAACAAGTGAAAGGGAGAGGTTGAATCCATTTTACCTGGATATTCAATAATTTAATAGGCTTGATCCCATGCTCCATTCTCCCAACCACAAGTATTTGTCACATTAGACCAGGGGTCGGCAACCTGTCCCCTTTAAGGGCCGAGGGACTTCAGCTCCCAGAAGCCTCAGCCATGTTGGCCAATAATCCCATGTTGGCCAATAGCTCCTGGGATTCTGGGAGCTGAAGTCCCTCGGTCCTTAAAGGGAAAAGGTTTAGACTGTGTGTATACCACTAAACATCAGAACAATTTTATATAAACAAATAATAGAATCTTAGAGTTGGAAGAGACCACAGTGGCCAGCTAATCCAACTTCCTGTCATGCAGGAACACACAACTGAAGTACTCCTGAAAGATGCACATCCAACTTCTGTTATTAAAGACCTCCAAAAATGGAGAATCCACCAACTACCATGGCTCTTGTGGTTTAAAAAAAAAAGTTCATGCTAATGTTTAGGTAGAATCTCTTTTCTTGCATTTGAATCTATTGATTTGTGTTCTCCAAACAAGGCTAGATGCTAGACTAAGAACAAATACACACTATATTTGGTTTGTTGTTGTTGTTGTTGTTGTTGTGTGCCTTCAAGTTTTTTCTGACTTATGGCAACCCTAACGTGATCCTATCAGGGGTTTTCTTGGCAATATTTGTTCAGAGAAGATTTGCCATTGCCTTCCCCTGAGGCTGAGAGCATGTGAATTGCCAAGATCATCCAATGGGTTTCATAACCAAGTTGGGAATCGAACCCTGGTCTCCAGAGTTGTAGCACAGCACTCAAAACTACTATGCCATGCTGGCTCCTGTATTTGGATACTTGCCTTCAATTATGTTCTATCCAACTGTTCTGTCCTCATATAACGATGATTCTTGTGACAAGCCACACTCCCAGGCTTCTCTTTTCCTTGGTGAGCTATCATTTCCTCTCCTTGAGGCTCCAAACAATCACAGCAGCCCACTCCAAATTCCACTTTAATACACTGAAGTTCATGGCCCTGTGTCTCCTCTCTGTAAAGGTGCTCTTTCTCAGTTCTATTACCTCAGCACATAGAATCTTGTAGCTAGCAGTATTTTCAGCCAGAGATACCCTCTTCTTTTGAAAAAGGAATGGCTTCTATTGGATAACTCAAGTTCATTATTCTTAGTATGAGAGGCTGTAGTGTTGACATATTCTTGGATCCAAATCTTGTCTGGAGCGCTGGGCTGTTAACATGGCCAAGAACAGCTTTTGCGATTACATGTCAGGTGTTAAGGTGCAGTCCTCTTGTGTCAGTTGCAGAGTGGGCCACCACCATTTATGCTTCTGACAGCATTTCTAGGAGCATTGTAATACTGGTTCTACTCAGGCTTTAAACAATATGTTCTGGGTACAGTTAATGCGTCTATAAAGCTCTTAAGAATTAGAACAACATATATCTTCTTGGCCCCAGCAAAGGCTTCAAAGGCACCTAAGGATATTGCCTCACTTATAACACCCAGGCGTCAAGTTTGCATTTCAAAGATGCAGAGAGAATTCTTGTTAGTAGCTGCTATACTAATATGAAAATCTTTCTTGGAAGATTTGTTCAAGACTTGTAAAGCACAATCATTTGTTCTAGAAGTAGAGGTGAGGAGTGTTTGACAGGAACCATTTTTCTCCATGAGTTAGGTGGAGATGCTTTGAGGATCAAGACTTGCACAACCAATATAGCCAAACCAGGATCATTGTTCAGAAAGTATTTTTTAAAGATATCATTATTATTTGGACTTGTTTCTGGTAGCCAAGAACTAAGGATTTTTAGTAAATGTTCTTACTTGGTTTGAATATAACAATTTTATAGTACATTTTAAAACAATGGTTAGTTTCCTTCATAATTGATAGGATAGACATATAAATACATTCCAGTGAACTAATCTTAATTGTGTTTCATTTAGATGCCAATGCGGCCTGTGCCGAGTTACATTCAAAGGCCGGACTATGCTGATCATCCATTAGGTAATTATAGGCACACTGAATTTGTCAGTTATTAAGCTTGTGTTTGATTTCACCTGTATTGATAAAGTTGATTCATAATGGATCCATTCTGCATGGGCCCATCAAATAGTACATTGAGGAGCTTTTTGGAGACCAATTCTTTTAGAAAGCAAGAATTCATAAAGCATTAAACCAGTGGTTCTCATACTTTTTGCACTTGTTACCCCTTTTACATCTACATATAGATGTTGTGCCTCCTCGACGTAGTACAGGGGTAGGCAACCTAAGGCCCGGGGGCTGGATGCGGCTTCCCGAGGCCTTTTGGACCAGCCCCAGGCCGGTCCTTATTTATTTTATTTATATTTTATTTATATTTATTTATTTATTTTATATTTATTTATTTATTTATTTATTTATTTTTGGTGCTTCGGCCCCCCAATTGTCTGAGGGACAGCAACCTGGCCCCCGGCTCAAAAAGGTTACCTACCCCTGACGTAGTATATCGATAAAAATATTTTGTTTAGGATACGTATTTTCATTTGCACATTCATGTACAGTGAGCCCTCTACATTTGCTGGGGTTAGGAGCACAGGGCCCCCATGAAAGTGGAAGAACCACAAATAAAAAAAAAAAACATTTTTTTTTACTTGATAGAAATCTAGGAATCTCTAGGTCCTCCAAAGCAACTCTATTGACAATATCTGCCAGATGTTGACCATAGAACTGTGCTGGAGGACCTACAAATGCCTTGAACAGCATTTTCTCTAGGAATCTTTAGCTCCTCCAGTGTGACTTTGGTGAAAATTGACATAGATTTGCACTGGAGGGCCTAGAGAGAACCTATTTATCAAATCTGTGAATAATCAGATCTGCAAAAGTCAAACCCACAAATGTGAAGGGCCGACTGTATATTCATATTTTAACAGTTACAAGGAAATACAACAACTTTATTAAAATAAATTCACTACTTAACACATAAGTAAATTTTTACACATACTGTTGCACACACAGCCACACTCAGCTCTTCTTCACAGTCAGCCATACTCTGGTGTTGGGGGAAAGTGTTGGATGATCCTGAGAAGGAGGCACTGCTGGCCTGCTCCTCTACTGGGAGCCATTGCATATGTCAAGCTCTATTTCAGCTGCTGTTTGCCTAGGGTGCACTGGGTTGAGCGGGCACACTAGTTGAGATTGCAGCAGTGTCTTCTTCTGAGAACTGGGGCATTGATGGGATGGGTGGGGGAAGAAGCAGCAGCGCCTCAGGCAGACCCAGCCACAGACTATGCTCAAGCAAGCTCCCCTACTCTCCTCCTTCTCTTCCTTCAGGCAGAGGTGGTGGCTCCATGTGCCTTCCACATGTTGTCTTCTCCTCTAGGACAGAAAAGGTTTGGGAAGCAGAGGATGGTTCAGTCTTGCA